CTTATGATATCATGATAGTTATACTTAAAATCTTATACTATTATTTGCTTAATTTCAATGGATGTTATTGAAATTTAGTGTGTTATAAATTTGAAGTTATTTCTAATATGTAAAAAATTAAATAAAAGTATAAAATTTTCGTGTCAATTTGGGATTCACGGGTCAATTTCGTGTCACAGGTTATTTTCGGGTCGTGTCGTGTTCGTGTTGCAGTTTTTAAAAAATGTCGTGTCACGAGTCGTGTTCGGGTTGACTGTAAATTTAAAAAAAAACGATCAAAACACGACACGTGACACGAATTACCACCCCTTCTAAAGTCAGTGATGTGTTAAACTATTATAAATTATAATGTGGCCTATTTTACTAACGGACGTCCAACAAAAAATTCATTATCTTAATACAAACTCTAACATAAATTCTCAATCTCCCATTCTTATTCCCCTAAAGCTGACCAAAATTAGAAAAAAAAAAAAAGTAAAATAAGTCATGTTGTAATAATTTAACAAGTTAAATGAGTTAATTTTCTAAATGTTAGTTCGTGATGTGTATGTATAGTCCTCAATTTTATGATAAGACAAAATCCTCAATTGTATAGTCAAAGACCAAAAAATATTGTCTTAAAATAAACTGTCGTGATTTTCATATCTTTTCGATATTTTCATCGATATAAATAAATTTTTTTTTTTCCAAAATTTATAAAATAACCATATTTTTGCTGATACATACTAATATTTTTCATCTAGTTGCAAAAGATAGTGTAGACGGATGCATTTTTGCTTCTTCGTGAGTATCCCAGTGTGGTTATCTTGTTCAATATCCAGTGGCTGCTTATGTGCTAAATACAACAAATATAACCGAAGTGAGCATAAAGCAAAGTAAATGGTTCATACTGCACAAGAATGCAAAATGCAGGGAGCAATATGCCAAATACTTTTCTAGTCTAGGGGATAAAGTGTTAAAAGCACCATAATCGAGGATTAAAATGAAAATTTCCCAAAATAAAGCGGCATTGCGAGGATGACGAATTCACGGGTTCAACCTATGCCATCATCGTCCCGCCGAAAGTCTGAAATATTTTTCAATTTTTAACCTTTTGTGAGGTCAATTCCGCCGACGCTTCAACGGCGTCGTTTTTCTGTTGTTTCTCTCCCAGTAATGTGACACCTACTCGCTGATGTGTCTCATTTAACGTAAAAGTGGGGCCCACCATGGTCCTCTCCTTATAAAAAAAAGAAAAAAAAAAAGAATCTAAGGAAGGTGTTTGGATTCTGGGTGAATATTAGCATGGATAAGGATATGTGCCTTACTAATAAACTATTAGTCATGATTCATGTGACAAATGATTTTAGGTCCTACGTAGCACTAGTTTCTTTTTGCTTGCGACAAACTATTATTGTTGACGATGATTGAGCTATGAAAATCTGTTTACCAAAAGTATCGGTTACCAAACATCTTGTTGAGTTAGTGTACGAGTGTGTGTAATCGTGATGATAAAAAAAAATAGTTAACAACAATAAAACAACTAATAAAGTCGTTTGACTCGTTTCAAATTAGAAGACGTTTGGTTTATGGAGTATAATTATGTGATTATAACTATTTTTAATTTACGTGTATTTTTTGTGAGAAAAAATACTATAATGAACTATGAACCATAATTCAAATCAATATTGCTACTTTTTATTGGCACTAGGGCACTACATATTTGACAACACGACAAAAAATATAATAATTGAGTTATGTGGCCATTTAATATATATATATATATATTGCCACATACATACAACCTGATTGATTACATTTTTATAAATATTAACATGAAATAATGTCGAATAACAACAATAAAGCATATAGCTTTCGTGAAGTCATTAGATGGCTTAATTAGACAATACAAGAAAATTTGGTCATCGATGCATTTATACAAGTCGGAGGCTTGAAGCAAACTGCAACGCTTACTTGCCAACAAATTATTCTTGATGGTTACCCCTTTATAATTTGGGAGCTTCTCTAGTAGACTAATCATATTAATAGTATTAGTTTCTGATTATTAGATCAAATTAAAATTATATTAGATTGAAAAAATATGTAACATAAATAGTTTTTGATACAGATTTAACGATTGAAAATAAAATAAAAAATGTCAATAATTCATTTTTTCTCATGATACCAAAACAGCTCCCATATGATTTATATACAGCATAGCATGACACTGAAAATGACAATTAAAGACACAGCACGTCTTTACCACTGTTCTTTACATGTTCCTTCGAATGTCGTGACAACAAATATGCATGGCCATTGCAATATTACAACAACTAACTATAATAGAAACGACGTTTTCAGGAAAAAGAAAAACACCACCACCAACGTACAACGTGATAGTGGTCATAACAGGTAGTCCTTCATTTATACACGCATTCAAAACAATATTCAGAAGGCGTACAGTTTCACAAATCCTTCATATTATATATTATATATATGTATATATATATATATATAGTGTTAGAGACACCACCTTAAATTTTAACTATTATATCGACTGATATGACATGTGAATTGTTATTTTTACATCGGTGAGTATTTAAAACATTGTCACGTTAATTAATAAAAGAGATTACCTATCAATAAAAAAATAATAACTCACGTACCACGTTAGTTGTATATAAAAATAAATGGCATGTTCTTTTGTCTAAAAAACTAAAAAAAATACAACTCGAGTTTCAACTTTATTTAAATTCACGTTCTTTTAAGTTTTAACTTTATTTAACTTTACTAAACTTTATTCAAGTTACAATTTCAACTAAAGTTATAATTCAAATTCAACTAAAAAACTACACTCAAGTTATACTTTAAAAGAAGAACCCCTTAGATTTGAGTAAATATCTCTAATATTATTATTATGGAAATATAGAAAGAATTTAAACTACCTCAAAATTGGAAACGCGTGCAAATTTACTGATTTTTCGGCACGTAGTTTTTGAAGTGCCTAAAAACAGAGCACTTATTAAAACCGAACGATTAACTTCGATAATATTTATACGTTAAGAAATAAGGTAAATATATATATGCTACATATTATTTTTTTCTTTTAGCAAAAATGATTTTGTTATACAATGCATGATTGAACCGCCCTCCCAAATTAAATTCTCCCATTCCACTCATGTTCATCCGCTTAATAAAGAAATAATTCTACATGTTCAATATATACTAATTTCTTCTCCCTACAAACTCTATGATCACATTTATGAAAATAGTCACATTCAAACATCCATTGACAGCTAATTCCAACCATTTTTATAAATTTTCATTCGTGTTGCATGGTCAAATTAAACTGTGATGAGAACCATCCATCTCGGAGTAGATGTTACGAGAAATTAGTTTTATGTCTGTATAGGAAAGTCATGGTGAGGTGAGGGAGTTTGGTACCAGACTTTCACGGTTTATACACACAAAATAGAATGCCAAGTCACATTATTTTAATGCATCCAATATTTGACTCTAAAGCGACTGTTTATAGGACTTGTCTAGTTTTATACTTCCGCAAATAATAAATATTCAACTACATGCACACAAATACAGACATCTACGTTGTATATTTGTTTTTTATCAAAACAGCTTAATATTTGAAAATATGCACACTCAGCTTTACACATTAAAAAAAAAAAGAACATGCAATTTGAAAAAAAAAAAAAAGAGAAAAAAGAAAAGAAGAAAGGCATTACAATAGTATATAAACAACTGTGCTTTTTGGGAGAAAAAAAAAGTGCTTTGGCACACGTGTTTTCCCTTGACATGGACAAAAAAGTCTAAAAATATGTCTGCAGTATCTCAAGTGTTTGGTAAAGGGGCATTAGTTTATCAAAGTCTGATTAGAAGAGTGACCAACTAAGCATACATAATTGTTCAATCACTATAAAGTTGTCTGTCACTAGTTTTATGCAGAATAATTTTATTCAATTCAAATAGCAAGCCCATAAATAACCCTTTGTATCTCAAGAGAAGTTGAATTATAGAACATTTTTGGAGGGAGAAAAATATTGTATTATAATGACATTCAAAATAACGTAAAGACAAAGTAAAATATGTAAAATTTTGGGACGTAATAACGAGATCGATAACCAGTCTGTGAAATGAATGATATATCCGGGAAAGTTTCATTTAGAAAAGTACGGAATACAACTTATATTAATTTGGTGCCGTTTTGTATCATTTTAATTTATAGGAAAAAATAAAGGCATTCACTATTTTTTGAGGAGATATGCAACTATGGGTCGAGGCCCGTGAATCGGCCCAAATCTATCTTGTTACAGGTCAGGCCAACATGGCTCGACAATTTTCATGGCATGGCCCGGCTCATCAATAATAGTGAATTGGGTTAGACTGGCCTAACATTTCTCAATTTGTGGGCCGGCCCAGTACGGTCTATGAAATTTTATGAGTTAGGCCGGCCCCACTTAATTCAGCTCATATAGATCCACTCGACCAGCCCACCGAAGGCCCATTTTAATTTAACTAAAAAAATATTAAAAAAATAAAGAATTTATTTTTAAAAGTGTGTAAATTTAAATTTTTACACTTTTACTCTAAATAAGTACTTTTTTATTAATGTAATTATTTAATTAAAAACATTATAAAGTAAAAATAAAGAGAAAATTCTGATCCATACTAAAAAAATATTTATTAAGATTATCTAACTATATATTATATATATTTTTATTAATCTTATAAATATCTTACTTATAATTATTTTAACTGTACTCTTTTTTTACTGAGATTTTGTCCTACTAAAATCGTGGGCCCGGCCCACGGCCCGACGCAGAGTTGAGTTTAAAAATTCAACTATACAGTTCCTTCTATAAACTGTATAAAATATAAGGACGGATAGTAGTTAGGCCAGAAAATGAGTCGAAGTTATCTTTTTTACCGGTTACCAACTTAGCACGTATCACCGAGTAATAAAGAGAAGCTTTTGGACAAACGAGAGTGAGGTGAACAGTAAAACCGTGGAAAGAAAAGATTTTGGTAATGATTTTTTCTGGGTTCACTTTTTACTCAAATGGCATTGCAAACAGCTCATGGTTATTGTTTGAGGTGATAATTGTTCGTAAGAAGAGAATCTGAGGCACAGTAAGACAAAACCAAAAAGAAAGTTCAAATCCCAATAATCAGCTGTGGCTGTCTGTCAGAACCCATTAGGGGCTTTTTAACCTCTTTCTCTTCTTCTCCTTCTCTTCCTCTCTCTCTCTCCCCTTAATTCAATATCACCAAGAGAAGAGAAGAGAAGACAAGAGATCTTCTACCTCTAATAATTTCCAGAGACGTGTTTTTGCAGAGTCTAATTTCATTATTATTCTTTTTTATTTGAGAGCACCATTTCTATTTCTTATTTACCTTTCACTTCAGTTTCAGTTTTCTTCTTTGAAAAGGTGAAAAAGGAGCCTAAAAGTACTTTTGGTGGTTTTTGATGTCATAATAGGTGGTTTTGCTCTTTGAACTCTGAACTACCATTCTCTTTGCTCTCTCTCTCTCTCTCTCTCTCTCTCTCATCTCTCACGCACCAACCCATGTAGCATCTCTGAGAGTTGAAACATTCCTTCCGGTACCTCACACAGTCGCATTCTTTCTCTCAAGTCTCTCTGCCTGGTCCAATCTTTCCCAATAGAAACAACCTCAACTACACTATCACTATGGCACTTCTCTCTTTTTTTGGCAAACCCCATTAGAGCAAAACCACAGAGCATCAAAGCTTTCTGACTTCTTCCTTCATTCTTCTCTGCAAAGCCCTCCAATCTCAGAAGAAAAAACAACACACCCATTTACCCAAACCTTATTCTACTTCTTTTCAACCTTCACACTTTAGAGAGACACAAACTTCTACTCTTCATCCATCACTCCAATGAGCTCACTCAGAAACTCTTATCATCTTCAAAGCAGCTAAAAACACAACCTTTTGAAACCAACCCACAATGCCAATCATTCTACTACTACAACTACTATTTGCCATCCACTTCTCCACCGCCGCTGTGTCCTTCCCTTTCAACCACCACCACCACCGGCGGCAACTCCTCCACCAGCCCTTCTTCCCGACAGACTCCCTCATCCCTCCAACGCAATCTCCAACTTGGTCTCCCTCTCCCCAACCCCAACCCCAACAACAACCGAAGCTTCCGTTTTCTTCCTCATCTTCATCATCTTCTTCAAGTCCACCACAATCACAAAGGCCCTTCTTCCCCTCCTACCACTCCCCACCTCCGCCGCCTTCCCCCACCGCCCTCACCTCCTTTCCGGCCAACATCTCCTCCCTTTTCTTCCCCCAAACCTCCTCATCCCACCCCCACCGCCGCCACCGTCTCGCCCTCGCCGTCTCCGCTTCCCTCCTCTCCGCCGCCCTCATTGCCGCCTTCGCCGCCGCATTCCTCTACCATCGCCGCCGCAAAAACCGTACTTCCGCCGAAGATGACCTCGACAAGGCCACCTCCGCCTCCAGATCGGACAGCCTCCGGCTGTTCCCGCCCAACACCGCCACCTCCGACGGCGGCGGTCACAAGTCGCGCGGCGGAACGCCCAACCACAGCTCGGAGTTTCTCTACCTCGGAACCCTTGTCAACTCCAGAGGAGGAGGCCCTGACCACCGAGAAACCGCTGCGGCGGCAGCGAATTCGAGCAATGCAGGTCTAAAGATTGGCGTTTCCGCCGCATCTCCGTACCGGAAACTTGGCTCGCCTGAGTTAAAGCCGCTTCCGCCGCTTCCCAAGCACAACTTTAGAAGGACTTACAAGAATGGTTCCGACGATGATGAGGAGGACGACGAGGAGTTCTTCTCGCCGAGAGGCTCTGCTGCGGATACCAGTAGCCCCGGCCGTGTAGGATCGAGCTCCCGGAGGGAAGCTCAGAGCTTGAAGGTCGATAACTTTGGAAGCTTAAGAAGCTTCAATTCCAGAACGACGTCTTACCCCTGCTCGAAATCCCCTTCTCCTTCTCTGACGACAACTACTTCGCCGGCGAGCTTGAAATCGGGGTCGCCGGATTCCGTCGTCAACTTCATGGCACCTATTCTTCATCCGTCTCGACCTCCTCCGTCGCCGTCCTTGTCGTCGTCGTCGTCTTCGCGGTCGGAAAGAGGTTCATCGCCGAAAAATCAATCTCCAGAGAAGCAATCTGTCGCGGTGAAGCTACCACCGCCACCTCCGCCGCCTCCTCCGGCGAGGTTTTGGGAATTGGCGGCGGATACGAGGAGGCCAAGCTCGGAGGGGCCTCCGGTTCTGGTAACGCCTTGGAGAGCGTTTCAGAGTAGCGAAACTGTTTCGAAAGAAAGGCAAGAAGAAGAAGGAGAAGAGCATAATGTTTTGGAAAGGAATGAGGAGGAGAATCCGAATAAGACAAAGCTGAAGCTGAAGCCTTTGCATTGGGACAAAGTCAGGGCCAGCTCCGACCGGGCAATGGTCTGGGATCACCTTAAATCAAGCTCTTTTCAGTAAGACCCTTTTAGTTTTTTCCTTTCATTTTCCTTTTTATATGTGTTGTTAAAAGTTTGTTCTTTTTTGGCTTAAATTAAATGTAAGGTTGCTAGAATTTGTTCTTAAGCTTATAGTAGTTTACTGGTTTTCCATATGTATTTTTAACGAGTTTTTGTTTTCATTTGCAGACTCCTTTTTCTTTTTTCTTTTTTTTTTGACTTTTTTGGTTTTCTTTAATTTATTAAAGCTTGTTCTTTTTTGCCGTAGAATTTGTTCTTATGCTTATTGTTTTTTTTTTTTTTGTTGGCAGATTGAATGAGGAAATGATTGAGACACTGTTTACTGCAAATAATAACGTCAATATGGTGATGATGGGTAAAGATAATGGTCGCCGTCAGGTAATGCCGTCGCTGGTGCAGGAGAATCGAGTGCTTGATCCAAAGAAGTCTCAAAACATTGCTATTCTGTTGAGAGCACTTAATGTCACCATTGATGAAGTCTGTGAAGCCCTTTTGGAAGGTAACTTTGATTTTTCTAATTAGTACTATTAGTATAGTATAATAATATACATAGCAAGACGTTGCATTTGTCTATGTTCTTCTCAATCACTGGATTCTAAGATTGCTTTAATGAGCTACTGCTATTGCTTATGCCTTGTGTTTTGCTTTGCTTAATTGCTACTTGAATTAGGCAATTCGGATGCATTGGGGACGGAGCTTCTTGAAAGTCTACTAAAGATGGCTCCAACCAAGGAAGAAGAACTGAAACTCAGAGAGTACAAAGATGAATCGCCGTTTAAGCTAGGTCCAGCTGAGAAATTTCTCAAGGCAGTGCTTGATATCCCTTTCGCATTTAAGAGGGTCGACGCATTGCTTTACATTGCCAATTTTGATTCAGAAGTCGACTACCTTAAGAGGTCCTTCGACACACTCAAGGTAATTCTTAGACTTCTTCTCTTGTTTGTTCATATTTTTGTTTAGTGTTTATGATTAATTATTATTGGAACGGTACCGGAGTGAAAGGCGTTTTTTGTTCCACTAGATGAAAGTAGCCATGACACAGCTAGGTTCCCTTGTACACAGGTAGCGTGTGGAGAATTGAAGAACAGTAGGATGTTCATGAAGCTTCTTGAGGCAGTGCTCAAAACTGGGAACCGCATGAATGTCGGCACCAACCGAGGCGATGCCCATGCCTTCAAGCTTGACACCCTTCTCAAGCTTGTTGACATCAAGGGCACAGATGGGAAAACCACTCTCTTGCATTTTGTTGTACAGGAAATCATTAGAGCCGAAGGTTTGCGTCTTTCTGGCACCAATCAGAAAGCAAGTGCCAAGAAAAGCGACCAGTCTTCTTACTGGGATGATGTCGAATTTAGGAAACTCGGCCTGCAAGTTGTTTCAGGGTTGAGTGGGGAGCTCAGCAATGTAAAGAAAGCTGCCGCCATGGATTCAGATGTGCTCAGCAATGAGGTTGCTAAGCTCGCCGGTGGAATTTCAAAAGTAGCTGAAGTTTTGAAATCGAATGAAGAAGTCGCGTTCAAGGAGAGCAGCAACCAGAAATTCTCGGAGGCTATGAATGGATTCTTGAAGAAGGCAGCACAAGAGATCGAGAAGCTTCAGACACAAGAGAAAGGTGCCTTGTCTCTAGTAAAGGAAATAACAGAATATTTTCATGGGAACTCGGCAAAGGAAGAAGCTCGCCCGATCCGAATATTCATGGTGGTGAGGGACTTCCTCTCTATTCTGGATCAGGTATGCAAGGACGTTGGGAAAGTAAATGAGAGAAGCATAGTTGGTTTGGGGTTGGCACGCCAATTTCCGACAGCTACAAATCCTACTATCGCACCAGTTTTCTTCCCCGGACTCCATGGAAAGCAGCAGCAGTATGGATCTTCAGATGATGAAAGCTCCTCTTCATCATACAGTGCTTGAGTTGGTCAGAAAAAAGCTATCTATTACTATATACAATCAACGCATATGCATATATGACAGCATATTAGAACTCTACATAGTACTGTGGGACGCAATGTCATATATTTTTGGTCATGCGACTCTTTTGTTAGTGACATACATGTGGTAATGCATCGCTTAATGCTCTTTGGTGGATGGTGAAAGGTGGAGCTTTTTTCTATGGCTTTCTGCGGAATCTCGTTGGGATTAATATGCTGGTCAATGCTGGGTGGTTGGAGCAGCTATGCTGAGAGCTGACTTTTATATGTTTATTACCCATTTTTCCTTTTCTGGGTGATCTTTATTGTAATTAAATATTACATATATATATTATAGTACCAATATTTTGTTAATCTTGTATAATATTAGAGGAAATTCTGTTTGACGATAATAAGTACTATTAGATTTTGCCAAGATTGCAGGATTGATCTTCAGATTGTTGCACCACATTTTGTGTCAGTGCTTTGTCAGGAAAGAAACGCAAAAGTGCTAAACCTTGATGCGATCACGACTCAAGTGGTAGTATATTAGAATTATCACGCATCAGAATGGAATCTACTTTTAAAACTTTTTTGCTGTATGATTGTACTGACACGTGTGGCTGTAATGAAAGGCAATGCTCTAAAATAAAGTGTCGAATATTTTTATAGCAAAAACAGAGTGAAATCTCAGATAATTTATCATTAAAGATCTGGAAACAATGTAAGATGTACAATGAAGTAAGAAAATTAAAATAGCTCCAAGCTTATCGATTTCCACCTAATAATTCTAGTTGTGTGAATGAGAAACCAGGGAACTCTCAGCATCCATTCTTTCAAGCACACGCTTTGCTTCTTCTTCAGTTGCAGGAACCACGTTCCGAATGCGCAACCCGTCTTTAACAGCCTCAGGATGAACAGAAAACGTGAAATAGAATTTGTTGGATACCTATCCATTTCCACAAATACAGAGCTAAATGCATAAATGTATAACTCGACACAAAGAAACTTCAGAAAGAAAACAAAAGTGCTAGAACATGAAATGCCAATTCAGTCAATATTTCACATAACACTCGGTTGTTTATCATTTTCAGGTCTGGTGCAAACCCCACCAAGAAGAATAAGTAAGAGCATAGCTAAAAATTGTTAATTGTGTCATGTCTTTCAACGTGGCTGATTTCAGAAATGCTCACCTCACTGGACCTGAGCTCAGGCCTTGTAACATGAGCAACAACTTCCACGTTTATCAGAGGTTCAGCGGGGTTCTCAAGCTCTGTGTAGAGAACACAAGATTTCATTCGAAGAAAATTTCCAACATCCACCTGCATCAGTTTTAGTAATACTCAAATCAGAAAAAGTGGATTCGTGAGTAATCTTGCAATAATAATAGTAAATAATAACAAACGGAAGCCTTTCAATTGACATTATATTACCCTTTTTAATGGTTCCTCAATCAATCAAGTTTCCAGTTTCCACCAAATCGTTAAATTAGCATTTTCTTTTGTTGGGATTTTGGTGATACTGTTCAATGTACCAGAGTTCTACATTATCACAGTATTTACCGCAAGAAATATCAAGGAATTTGTAAACAATAGGATGGTTACTCACAGGTTTAAAGAAATCAACATGATCAACTTCTAGAAAGTGTGGTGCAACCCCAGCAAATGAATACGTTGTTGAGAAGGCCAGTTCAAATGCTCTTCGCATCAAGAATCCTCCGAAAATCCGACCATGAATGTTCCTTTGCTGCGGTTGGCAAACAAAAGAGTTCTCAAGATAAGTATCTCTTATGAGGATGCTGTCTCTGTCTGCCAATGCCGGCATGTCGCAGAAGATTCGCCCTTCGGCCAACAATGCGTCGAGCCTGTCTGCATCATGGTCCTCAGCATCTCTATTATGTTCTTTCTTCTTTTTCCTCTTTTTGTTTCTTTCGTCTGCTTCCTTCCAGAGCAACTTTTCCTTTTCCGTTTTGGGTGAAATCTGGTTAACAAGAGCTGATTTTCCAGTCTTGGAGTCACGGGCCACAAATGTGAAGTTTGCTACGAGAGCAAGTGTGTCTGATGGATCCGGAGATTCTGCAACAAAAGATTTGTGATAAGCGTGGAAATGGAAGCAGTGATGAACCACTAAACTGTACGGTTATTATGATGATTCAGTAAATATAACCTTATAAGAACTGACATTTATTATTATTCATGCTTCTATGCAAAAGACATTTTCCTACAAAAATGCATATGTATACATAGGTACCAGCATCTGATAGCAATACAACAAGGTCTCAAGTGTTGTTGTGTTCAGCAAAAGAACTCCGACCACGCTATAAATATTTTGGAACGAGAGAAAGGAAAGCATGAAGCGCATGATCATTTAAAGGACGTGAGGTATCTTATAGCAATGATGATCTAGGATATGGCTCAAGCATAACATCAAAGATTTTATTATCAGAAAATTACACAAACTCCGTCACTCTTATTTAATCACATCAGTAATTTGTCTAAGTATTATAATTTTTGATTTGTTGTTGCATAATACAAAGGATTTACTTGATGGATAATATTTATAGGGAATTAAATAACATTCCTGAGAACCTGGTTACCTTAAAAACAAGCAGGGTCCGCAAAAGCAAACAAGACCAAACATTGAAACAAGAAATTTTCCAAATGACTTTGATCAGATTGTGTATTTAGAAGAAGAATACCATGTGTTGGCTGAAGGACTTCAAGTTGAATCTCCATGAAAGAGCGGTCAACCCATGTAACAGCACCGGCGATACTCAAATCGGTGTCGACGCTGATTGGTTTCTTAAGAACCATTCTGTCAACAGAAGCAGTCACCAACAATAGAGGCCTCGTCGTTCCATCTTCGTTGCAGCAGTGCTGGTCCCACAATTTAACGTTTTACTAATTTTTAAAAGGAATGTAATATAAAGTGACACTGACAAGGTTTTGGGAGGGAAAAAAAAAAAAAGAAAAAGGAAATGAAAAAAGACATGCTTGATATTTGATATTTTCCTTTCTGTTGTTTGAACAACTTCTGCAATTTCCTTGCTTTCTTTCTAACCTTTACTAACTTTAGGAATTAGAATCATAATAACTTGTTCATTAAAATGTTCTCAACACAATCAAAGTTAAAATCTCTTTATCCATATGCTAATTTAAAAGCCCTTAATATTACCTCTCTCTCTCTCTCTCTCGCTCTCTCAATCAAAGTTGGAAAATTGCATTAAAAAAACTCAAACTTGATGATAAAGATGAATAATAACAGTTAAATTAAGTTGAAAAGAAGTAAAAAAACAGAGTAGAAGAATCTCCGATCCTATCAAAGTGGCGAGATTTAAGTTAAGTAAGTTGAAAAACAGAAAAGACCTTGAAAGCGATGGTGCCAGCGAGAGCGTCGAGATCCTCGACGAGCTTGCCGATGCGAATGTGGTTCCAGGGATTCCTGTATTGCTCTCTGAGAGTGTAATCAGAAGAAAACTTGTAAAGAACACTGGTGCAGCTCTGCGACGGAGTCTTGAGAACCAGTGGGGTGGTTGTGTCATCTTTCTCGAAGATGTGGGAGCGGGCTTCCCAGAGGGCGTTGGTGACCGGAGAATGGTACATTCCGGGCCATAGACTGATCGGTTTTCTGATGGAAGACCCTGCGTCGATTGGTCCACCCACACCCACTGGCCCTCCCCCTGGGAATGGGATAGATGAGTCCCTGTCCGACGAAAAAGCGAACAACAACAAGTGGCGGTGGGATTTGGGTTTGCGGAGGAGGTGGTGGGAGAGCTGTTTACCGATTGGTCTGAGGAGTTTCATCTCATCGTCCTGCTAGAATTAATTGGTCTCAACACACAGTTTAAAGAACATCAAAAACAATAATCTAGCTATAACTCTGAAAATATCATCAAATTTATTTAGGATTTAAATATACATTTTTATGGGCAAAAAGGATTTACCTCCTCCGATAGGCAGCAAAAAAGTGTCGCCCACGGTGAGCTGAAAACGCCAATGGCCGACTGGAATTAATGAGAAGCTGCAAAACAAGAAAGAGTGGCAAAAAGTTTACTTGAACTCCTTTCTCTTCCTCTCTCCAAAATCGTTAGACCACTACACACAAATTGCCATGAAAGCCACCCCAAAAACGAAAGGGTGTGCATCACTTATGAAATCAAACGGCCTATCGAGCTTATTTTAACAACATAGAATTAGAAATGTATTTAATCTAATAGACTAACTAGTGAGATAGATCCGTTCACTTCGCTGATTCGAGTTTAGAATTCAAGTTTTTCACAAACAATCACATCTAACTTTTTTGCTACAGTAAAAAACTCTCACATAAAATCATATCTCAACTCGAATTCTAAACTCGAATCAACGAAGTGAACGGGGCTTAGTTTATATGCCTCAAATTAATTAAGTCTATTTCATTATGGATCGATAATTAATATACACGCATTCGTTAATTTATATTAAACACAAGCTTAAAACAATTATGTATAATAACGTATTGACATGATATAATCATTATACATTATCAGGCGCTAGAGATTCATCAAAATAAGACGCTAACTTTAACATATGGGTCAAAAATAATAATGCATATAATGAGACTAATAACCGGATATCTCCTTTTCCAATATGTCATTTACTAACTAAACTTGTGTCAATCACAACATCACATGCAAAGTGATAGATTCATAAATATGCATGTATTATTTGAGGCATAAGTAATCTTTATTAATAACAACATGTCACATACAAATAGCAACAAACTCCCACTAACTCAATACTACTACAGGCTCCTCACAGTTTCGAGTGGGATGTGTGTTTTTAAAACACCTAATAGGTAAGCCTTTAGTGGAACTGATAACATGTTGTTTATAAGCGTGTTTTTAATCACAACGAGAGATCTTACATCTTTCTCTTTCATAAAATAGAACACAATATCAATACACTTGAGCAAGAAATGCTCCTAGTGTTCTAAGAAAAATACTATTATGGAACTTTTACAATAGAGTTTCAGTATGTTCAGAAATGGAGTCAACTACTCCTCGTGCTGAAATAGGGTTCCATAACCATATCACATAAGACAATTTCTCAACACGCCACATACTCTGCATTACGGTTGAGGACGCTACGAGTGTCTCCTTGACACTTTTTAATAAAGTAGCTATTCCTTTTATCATTTATGCAGCCTGCATAATCAGCATCACAAGATCCAATTATAACAAAAGTGTTGGTTTGCTAATACACAACTATGTGGTACTTCATTCCCAATTAATTTAGTAATAATAACAATGATCACTCAAGTACCGAATATGCACGTTAATAACAAACACAACAATAAGACGTGTGCATACTTGAACATACATCATGATGTTAAACACAAAAGCATAAGGGACAGTTTGATATGCTCTCTCTTACTTCACCATAAGGACATTACACATTTGAGTGTTTGTTAATTGCTTACTAGGAGAATAAGAATGCATACTGAACCTATTCAAACAAGAGCAATATAGGTTTTTATGAGACGGCCAGAAAATGCACTTAACCTTATCATGGAGAATCTACATGCCTAGAACATAATAGGATTTTTCAAGATTCTCATATCAAAGTGACTAGACAACATGTTATTCGTCTCAACCAATATGTCAGAATCATTAGGCGTAAGCAAGGTGTCATCAACACAAAAAGTCAGAGATAGACAACTGCTCTCACTGATCTTATACATATGCATTTATCAACAACGTTTTCCATAAAGCTAATTTCAGTGATTATCTCATCCAAAATTGAGATACTACTGCCTCGATTTTTTCCATACACTCTCACTCATCATATAGTTTCTTAAAAAAACATTAATGGAGCTAGGAAACGTATCAACTCTCATGGCTATGTCAACTTCACCATTAACAGATTCATCATGAGAGATCCATACCATAAATAATGACTCGGTCCATTTAGCGTCAAGATAGTGGAGATACAAGGATTACTCAAGGCTAAAGACAACAAAAGGGCAACTAATATTAGGCATGTAAAAACAAAATTATGCAATTTGCCCTTTACTTAGTCTTTTCCAATGATCATAAACCATATGATCATTGTGTGCTAGAGTTCTCTAAGCAAGAATATAACTCTTTCGCAGGTAAGAACAATTCATCAAACATCACAAGCAAATACATCAATCCACCACCGACATGGTAATAAAGATTATGCGGTTCATGACATTTAATAAATTTTTTTCACCGGTCTAAGCATCCTACCAAACAATTAAGTATCCTACCAAACAATTAATTGTCGACCGAAAAAATTAATTGTTTGTCTGGATTTTAACAATATGTAATACATAACTTTATTCATAATACTCCAATTTATTATTTGACAATGATATAAATTTAGGGATTATGCAAATCCATACAGTCCGTCCGCACAAAATTAGTTGCAGAAAGAATTCAAGTCCACGGTTGCCGTTACTCAGATTTCGATTCAAACTACAAAAAAGAAAAGAAACCGGATGAGTCTCTACTCTACTCTTTGCTTCTCCTCTGTTATCGACCTTGATTGAGACCATTCATTTGGGCTTCTTCTTCCCAGGTCCAAGCCCAAACCCAAGTCCATGCCCTCTCTCTCTCTCCCGTACTTTCTGCCAAGCGAGCCGTCTGCATCGTTCACCAACCTCCGGATGCGGAATGTACTAAAGTGGTTCAATAAGCTACTTAGAAAATTAATTACTCTTGGTTATTAATGTATTTAATATCGATTTGGTTTTCGAATGTAGGAATGAAGATAGGAATGTGATGGAATTGGAAGAGGACGAATAGCAATATTGAGATTTGAGAGTTGGGAGTTAGAACTTGAATTCTGCTGTTAATTGTAGCATTAATTTGTGTAAAAGTTATATATATATAAATTTGGATATTGTGATATATTTTGCATTTTATTTTTATGTGCGACTGTTGCGTTCAGAGTTTATGTGGATTTTCACATGAACTTGGTAGGTTTGTATTGTACTAGAGATTTTGACTAATTTTTTGACTTTTTATCTAGTCTTATTTGTGAGGTTAGGGTCAGTTATGAAATACATGACTATGACGAGCCCTGGTTTTATGGTCTCTTGATTAATGATCATCACATTTTGCCAATAACTTAATTCCATTTTCCTGCTTGAAATAAAAAATTACAGGAGATTAAGTCGCGGCTTGAACTAAACATGCAAAGTGATGAAACCAATGGTTCATGACTTATTTAGAAAAATACTTGTGCTGTCTGTTTTCAATTGGATGGAAAGTCGCTTTATTATACTGAAAACAGTTTAAGGTCTCATTCAATTCTCCAACTTGAGTTTTTATTAATTCGGTAATGAAAAGACAGTTGAGTTGCCATCGAGCATATGTACTAATTTTTGCCATCAATGACCAACCTTGGTTCGAACGAGTCCAATCTCGTGTTTTGCCCATGTTAATATCTGAAAATTAAGAGAGAAATCTATGCTGTGAAAGGATAATATTACTATGAAATACGTTTTGCAATTAAACATTATTGGCATAGAGAAGGCCAGAATTGTAGCCTCAACTGTATATATAGAAAAGTAACTCATAAGAAAGCAGAGCCCGAGCGCCAACTCGAGAAACCTCCAACTCCATTCTTGGCAGCTATTACTTTGCTGACCAACAATTTCCACTTGGTCTCGTCTTTCTTGCTCTGCTGCTGCATTTTTTCCTCGAAATGCCTAAAAACAAAGAACCAAGGAAAGGTTATTATTCATTTAATCAACAAACAAGTTCTAAGGCTGTCCACATCTTTCACTCAGGTCAGTAGAACAAAAATATAAGCTAAAATATAGCTCAGACTTGAAAGCATCAACTTAAATACTAAAAGATTCATGAGTAGTGAGTGGTTAAGTGTCTGTCAGCAAAGAAAAGAAAAAACGCCAGGGAAAAAGCTTCATGCTTACCTACAAAGAGGGACTTTGCACGCATCAGGCTCATTACACAAGCGAGAATGCAGCTCAAGAAGTTGCCACATGCGCTTGCAGTGCACACAACCACCAGGAACACGGGTTTTACAGCTGGAGAAATGGCGGACTAAAGTTTCAAGCCCTTTGCAAGCTGGAAATCCACATGCAACTTGGCTTCCTTTCAGGACTTTGTCACGGGGCCCTATTGTTCTGCACCCGTCCCTGCATATATGAAGGAGGGCTTCCATCGCCTCATTCAACTGCAAGTATACTTTTTTCTCTTCCATTTTCTTTAACCTCTCCTCCTTTCTCTGAGATAATTAACTAAAATGTAAGATTTCAATGGTAAAAATAGGAGTAAAACAAGAGTAAAAACTTTGCGCATAATAAACAGACATTAAAGTGCATGTGAGTTCGTCACTAAGCAAGATTTTGTTTTGTGTAGTGAACGAGAGACCAAACTTACAGTATCCGCTTCAACAACAGACTCTAGTAGCTCCTGTTCAAGTGCAGGGTTAGCTCGCCTCATTACTTTCCAACCTTCAGTTGAGGATATGGCCTTAAAGTCCTTCACAACCATACGCACACAAAATAAGGAGAGTCGTGGCGCGTCACAATCCCTTGCTAACTGAAGCACATCTACTGCATTTTCCTTTGTTAGCCAATCCTGCTCAAGAAAGTATACACAAACTCTTTTAAGCGATGGAACTGAGTAGGAGTGTGACAAAACCAACAGATGAAGAACAAACTTCTTGATCTCTTCCATCTCATAGCTGCACACAAGGAGTAACAAACTTCAACTAATGTTGCCAGAATAGCTAACTGAGAAGTAAACGGGAGCTGATGTCATGGTTCAAGATAATTCCATCATACCGGGAAGAGTAAAGAAAACGTATGAATAGATAGACAGCATCATAAGGCACCCCAGGAATCTTAATGTATCTCATACCATTCTTGACTCTCGTTTGCTGCACCAAATTCTCCAACACAGGTGATGCACAACTCTGCAAAGATAACATTGAGCGATATTCTGTCAGCAATAGCAATATCGGTGCTATTTGTTGTTGGTCATGAAATTTACAACAATAACAAGGATGAGAAAATCGAGCAACTTACCAGAATACTAGAATGAGATGGAATGAACAAGTCATCCTCGGTGATAACATAGACATCAGCGCCATGTCCTTCCTTGAAGAGTTTGTCCCATGTATCCACTGTTTCCTTTGGGACAGGGCAAAAGTCTGATAGCCTGTTCACATATTTGGTTCTTGTAATTATTTTATTAGGGAGCGGTGGTGGCTTTGGAATGTTACAATTATAGGATACAGAAGAGGTAGGAGCTTCCAGCACAGGTAAAATATCAGCTGAATTCGCTTCCTCTAGACGTATATCTAAAGATCCAGAAAAAGAATAACCAGATGATGATGGCCAGGTTGAGTCAAGATCAGGAGAAGCCATTAACTAGTGCTGATTATCAATAACAGACACAAGTTATGAATGGAAGATCTGCACAAAGAGAAAACTTTGGTTAGAAGATAAATCTAAGCTATCTATATATGTCTTCTTGAAGAAGTTAAATGAGGTCAAAATGTTCTTATTGCCTGCAATATACTAATTCTGAGAACAGTAAACAACAATAGATATTTGAGAAACAGACTATATATAAAGGTTTGGTTAAATGGTATATCATGGTAGCACCAGAACATCAAATTCTAACTAAGAAGCAATGTTAAACAACTGTAGATTAATCAAGGCAGCAAAGAAAGACTCAATAGTATGAAACAAGAAAAGAATCAGTCAGAAAATCCCATGGGTGAATTTTGGTCATTAAGAAAGTTGCTTGGGGGAAAACTTTGGCATGTCCAATTCCGGAGTTAGAAGTTTCTTCCATGTTTTCTAAAACCCATGCCAAGAAATCTCGAACCATTATCCAAGGAAGGTGATAACCCACCAAAACCCGATTCACAGGTTGAATTTAATAAGAAGCTGGTAAAGTTTTAAACTTGATCCAAGTTAGTTTTAACACAAGTCTCGAAACACAAGAGAAATTGAAGCCCAAAGTCCGACTTGGTAATGCAAATCGGATTAAAGAATTGGAAAGAACGTGCTTTTAACAAAAAGCACAAAGAGGTGATGAGATCTGGTAAAGTCGAACTACAAATAAATCCAGCTTTTGATACAAGCTAAATAATAATAAAATTTAAGCTCGAAAAGAAAAAAGAATTTACAAGCATCGGATTCATAATCAAAAGCTCAAATAAATAGAAAACAAATATAGAAAGGGAATCCGCAAATAGTACTCGCTCTGGCAGTTAATTAACTAACACTAACTAAATGATAGTTTAATGAACAATATGCAAGAATTAGAATCTCTAATTAATTACCTTTTGGATAAAATCAGCAAATCTCCGTTCCAAAAATTTCGAGATATGCCTGATCTTCAGAATATTCTAATGGCTGATACACAAGCTAAATTTCTGGAAGTTTTTATTTATTTATAAAAAGACAAAATCTAATCAAATATCAGGAATTCACTATTGCCAACGAAAATTATAAAATAAAAATAGATGAATTCAGAGGAAAAGAAATCTATATTAATAAGCCGAAAAACAAAGCACTTGACTTTTTTCAACGAAGAATATAATTATATATATCGGCAATAAATATAAAAAATTATTTTGGGTTATGCATGTAAACCAGTTTTTTCTTGTAGAAAAATAATAGGAAAACTATTTTGTTGTTAACTTGTTATAGCTTTTCTGTCAAGAAACTCCCCTTCAGGCTCTAGAGACGGAGATTCAGATAAGTGTTCTAGATTTCCGGAGAAAATATATACACATATATACATACATATATATATATATATACACACATCAAAATATAATTCAACATTCAACGCAGGAAAATCAGGCGAGGAAAACAAAAGGCGAAAATTTAAAAAAAAAAAAAAAAAAAAAACTGCAATTCTTCTTGATTGCTGATAATAATATTTTTATTCGAACAGAGAAAAAGAACATAGAGCTAAACTATTAAGTTGGGAAATATTCGAAAAGGAAAAATGGAAAGTAGCTTCAATCAATTCAATAAAGAAAGAAAGAAAGATACCTGTTATATATGTGTGAAAGACATGGATTTTTTGGTGATAGTGATTACTGATTCTGATTATTAGGAAGCAGAGCAGAGAGACGTCGCTATTTATTTATTGCTATTACTATGTAGAGAGAGAAACAAAGAGAGAGAGAGAGAAGAAAAGGAGGAAGAAGAATTGAAAACTGCAGAGAAGAGAAGGGAATGAGAAGTCACCGGCCTAGTTTCTTCTCTTCTTTATTGGTGTCAAAATGGGGAGCTCACAGCAACGTGTGTACTTTTTTTGAACTATTCCTTTCAAAATCAATCCAATTTATCAACTGCTTTTCCCAACTCATTTTATCGTTTCACGACATTTTCGACACGCACCTTTTTTGTCCAATAAAACAAAAAGGATTTAACATAATTCTGACCCTCCATTCATTTCACAATCGAATTTAAAATTTAAGATTAGTGAACTAAACGTGCTTTCTATCCCCTCAAAATATCGGTTCAATTTCTCTATCAGCATACATATTTGATCGGATAGGAATTTTATATGTATATTTTAAGAAAATAAGAAGAACATATATTCTTAATGTTGCATGAATGATTTTTTATTTGTGGAAATTACTTTCATTCTTTTGTTTAATATTATAAATACAGGGTAGTTGTAAAATGTATATGCGTTGGCGTAGTTAAATTCTGACTTTGGGAGTTGGCACGTGTAATAAGTTTTTAACAAAAAACACCTCTCGATGTTGCATCAATGCTTATTTACTGTGTAGAGTGTGTGATATGAAGCGAGTATATTTCTCCTTCTTCAGGAATATATATATATATATAGACACACACAAGAGAGATATGTTTTGCAGTCATTATTATTATTATTATTGTTTTGGTCTTGTTTTTCCCGGGTTTTCGTTTGAAACCCATTCTAATGATTTTGAGATTATTTTTGAGAATACGTTTAGTTATTTTATTTTGATATTATTTTTAATTAAAAAAAAATTAAAATTACGTTTAGTTTTATATTTTTAAAAACATATAATAGTATTTTAAATAATATATTAAATAATTAATATAATCCCCAATCAATTGTCTAGTAATTAAAAGTCCTAAGCATGCCTCCTACGAATCAATTTTTTTTAATACATTACAAATATATGGTAAATAAATAAAAATAAAATAAAAAAAAGTTTTCTCCGTGATAAATGCAAAACTGTAAGAGCCAATTTTCAGAAATAAGATTCGATAGAAAGGCTTTATCCTGAACTAGCCATTTCCCCAAAGCATCAGTAAACAGGAAAAAAAAAATCACAAAACACAAACAGAAATGTCAGTCAAGAAAAACAAATTCTATTAGTTTTCAAAAGTGGGTGCTTTTTAGGAGAGAATAGAAAACGTTTTCGTTTTTGTTTTTATTATGATGGGGTGCTAAACTGCATTTTTATTTTTAGGTCCTTAAAAAACGTAAAAAACAATTCTAAAATGAGTTTCAAATATGCTAGTTATATCATACAAATAAGTTGTATCAGAATATCAAATGTGTTAGTAGAATTAAAATATAAGATGACGTTTATTTTTTGTATTCATTTCTGATTCTGAATCATAATTCATAGTTCTCTATAATATTTTTTTCTCATAAAAAATACACGTAAAATAAAAATAATTCTGAATCATAATTTTAAATTCATAAATTAAACGTCCACTGAAATTAAACTTTTTTTTGTACTCTGCTAAAGAGTTGTATATTATAATTGACCGAAAATACGTATAACAAACGTGCAAAGAGGTTGATCAATGCATTTGCTTGGCAATCTAATTTGGTTCACCTTCATTGTTAGTGGACGGGGGACCCTAACTTGAGAGCCAATTATACTAGTTTTGAGTTTTGAAGTAATTATTATTATTTTTTTATCCTTTTTACATATGGACTCAACTATACTAGAAAACTATTTGGTTCGTACTTTTTTTTTTTTCTCTTAGAAAAGTGGTGGTTCACCGTAGAGGGACGTTCATGACCAATATTACAGCACTAATTAACAAAAGTCGGGGAATTTTGTGGCTGAAATTCATTTGGTAAAGAGAAATTGTGGGTCTAAGTTAACCATTAGGCATTAGCCATATATTGAGATTTTTGAGTGACAGCTACTTTCCAAAAGCATATTCTCTTAGTTGTTAGCAATTTTCTCTTCACGTCTCTTTTCTGCACTATACGACCGACCAATACGACGAAGTATGGAGAGATTAGAGACCCGTCCTAGTAGACTGTACTGTACATATCAATAAACCACCAATGACATAATTGAAGTCCAAGATATCCCGTGGGAAACTTTGGACTTATTTTCATTTCTAACCAAAAGGACGGAAAAATTAATTCAGATCGATTTTCATTATCCGCAGTAAAACTGTAATTTTATCTCTCATTGACTTTCAAATATATTTTCTTAAGTAATTAACACAGATAATTCTTATTCTATTTAGTATGGGACAGTCTAATCTCTATTCTTTTAATTTTGATAAAACGGTCTTTAATATCATTAAATTAGTACAATTAAATCTTTTTATCCAACTCCGTCAAATTTTAGACGGTTTTATAAAAGTGATCTTATTTTTATAATAAACTTACAAAAATATCTCCCATATAAATCAACTCACTATTTTTTAAAATATCGAAAAAAGGAAAATAAATAAAAAAGTAAGGTCTTCTTCTCAGAAAAAGTGCTCAAGATAGACCTGATGCACATTAATCCACCGTCAGATAAAAAAAAAGGGTAATGATTTTTTTAGGATCGTTTCAATCGTAGAGAGAAGAATCAAGTACCCTTGTGTATCTTATAATTGAAAAAAAAAAAGAAAGAAAGAAAGTTTAAACTTTGTAAAATAAGATCCCCCATAGCCTGATATCTGCCGACCATCCCTTTCTACAAGCACCGTTGACAAGTATACGTTGCTTTTGATGGAATGTGCTTGAAGAAGTTGGCGTCGAATCTGCCCTACGTGAAGTCGTTGTTCTTCGGTTGGTTCGAGCCGCTGGGGAATGCCATTGAGCAGGAGCATTAGCTGTATTGAGAGGGAAAGAAAAGAACGATGTGCTCGTCGTACTTTACTCAGTTGTCGCCGGAGATGATGGCGGCCATCACGATGCATAAGTTGATGGGACTGCTGATGTCGAGGGACGAGTATGGCATTGCCCGGGTTGTTAAAGCTTCTCTCTTGATCGGGGATGCCATTGAACAAGAGGGTTGAGCTTAGTTTGCTCGTTTTCTTCATTGTCATTTTGTTTTGAGCCTAATATTTGGTTGGATAATGGATAATAAGCTTCCTCTTCCACTGTAGTTCATAATATGTCTTTCTTTTTTTTTTCTTCTTACAAGCTTCTTATTCTTCTTTTTAGGATATTAGGGGTTTATTTAGTTGTATTTTTGAGTTATAGTGATTTGAGTATAGATTTTAAGTTTGATTTGAGTTATAATTTGAGTTTGTGTTTAGATGTGCACATTTGAGTTATGATTTGAATTGAGAATCTATTTGAGTTTGTGTTTAGATGGGTCAAAACTTAAATTTATATTTAGATAATATTTTAATAAAAACTCATTGGTGATGAAAAATTTTAATAGGGTATATGGATGAGGTTTTATTCGTCTCTTCGTTGTGAACGCATAGAAAAAAAATCATATCAATCGGAATTAAAACGAAAATGTTATGGTATTTTTAAGAATAGAAAAAATAATGTTCATTAATTTGAGTTTGAGTTTAAGAACTTGAATTGAAAGGGGAACTTGAATTCATATTTTAACCTCAAACTCAAGTTTTAAACTAAAGTTTAAACTCAAATTTACAAAAGAACATGAACTTGAATAAAGTTATAACTAAAGTTCAAATTTTTTTTAAATTTTGATCAAGAAGTACAAGCCCTAGTTATCTCACGGTAGTGCCAACACAATGAATATATTTTCACACTTGGTTACTCTGTTGGGCATGATAATATACCTGTGGATTGATTCATTCAAATAAAAATATTTTCTAAAGATTCTATTGGGTTTTCTGATCTGAGTAGGAGGGTTGGAGGGCAAGGGAGGTTTTATTTGTTTATTTTTCTTCTCAATTTATGACATCACATGCCTTGTATATGGTCAATTATATTAAAATATTAACAAAATTGGGCACAAAGAACTTAATTGCACCAATTTATGACGTTAGGGTTTTCTGATCTGAGTAGGAGGGTTGGAGGGCAAGGGAGGTTTTATTTATTTATTTTTCTTCTCAATTTATGACATCACATGCCTTGTATATGGTCAATTCTATTAAAATATTAACAAAACTGGGCACAAAGAACTTAATTGCACCAATTTATGACGTTGGAGATTATTTTGTCAAAATTAAAAGAATAGAGATTAAACTGTCACTTATTAAAAATGTTAGAGACTATTCATGCCAATTAATTTTTTTTTGAGTGAACCTTCAAGTATAATCTAATTGATATAATTTTAAATTACTTGACGTTAGTTAATAAAAGTACGAGTCATGTTCTCTTTTTATTTATAATCTCAATAGATTGTCGACTGATCGAGCATGAGGATACCACAGTTTTTTCAAGCAACCGAAAAAAAAACTGAATTTATAATGTATAGACTATACAATAAAAATGTTATTATTTCTGAAGATCTCCTTACTTAGAACGAGAATCGTTATTTTAGATTTAAAGTTGAATGGATCAAATTATACATCCCTAAATTAATACCCAATATATTGATTCCTTTTGTAACTAAAACAATCACTTCGCTCAAAATATACGTATCCAATCTATGTATATATTGGTTTTTCTTCAAAAAAGAATATCTGTCTATATCCATATATTAATGTGCGATCATAAGTAATAAATATATTATATTTTTCTGAAATCTTTTTCCACCAAAATAAAATTATTTATTATTTTCAATAAATAGATCGTACGGTTAAACATGAAAATTTAAAATAATTAAAAGGGGTTTCATATAAAAACTCGTGATATATAGAAGAGATGATAAGATTCCTGACAGTAGAAACTGGTGAAGGTGGGCCCATTATTCGTGCCCTCGGAAACATCCAATGGATTATTGACGCGTGGAGGTGAGAGATGAAGATAGAAAAGAAGTATGGGGCGGCTAGGAGAGAGCAGAAGAAGAAGAAGAAGAAAGGCCAAGAAAAGGGACGGTGGGATGGGAAAATCCGACGGCCAAAGATGTGATGTGGACGGTGGGACTTGTGGGACCACGTGACTCACTAGGGATTCGGATCTCCACTACTGGGGTCCACTTTTTTCTTCTTGTTTATTGGTGGGTTTTTTTTTGTTTGTAATTCTTAAAGAAAATATTATGAGAGTTATTGATGGTCTTTTTTGTTGAGTCCATTGATTTTATCATTTGAGTTTAAAATTTAAATTTTGTTATAATAAAAAATTCTCAATTATATTTAATATTTTTATTATAATAAAAAATTATCATATAAAATTATATATCAATTTAAATTAAAAATTTAAATTAACGAACTAAATAGACTTTTAATTTATCTAAATAATTCGTCTGAATATTCAGGAAATACTTTTTGAGAACAGTGG